TAATAATAATAGTAATAATAATAATAATAATAATAATAATAATAATAATAAAAGTAATAGCGATAAGGATGATAGTAATTAGTGACAATCATAACAATTACAATAGTGTAGTTTTTTATTATAACCTCATTAAGATTGTAGTAGATGGTCGATATAACAGATAAGGCGGTCGAAGACAATGGACATATGTGAAAGGGCATTCATTGCTTGAAAAAAATGCAAGGAAACGGTGTCATTTAGATATTTGCTGCAATTAATTCTTTCTGCTTTTTTCTAAATAAAGCCTAAAAGATGAAACGAATGGATTGAAGTATGGTTTGGCGGCGGAAATGGAAAGTTCTTCCGGAAAGACTAGAATGCGATCAAAATTATTTTCTTCTGGTTCATTTTTGCAAATTTACTATCACATTTTTTCCAAATTTATTGTCACATGAGCGTACATAATACATAGTATAACACTATACTTATCCTTTGTTTCAAATTTTACTTCAAGCTCTAAGCTTTCTGCTAATATCAAAGCATGGGCTAACATCAGTTAACATCTGCAGTGATTCTGCTGTGTAAATAAATCATCCGTAAGTATTAAGTGTGTCCTTTAAGAGGTTTAAGGACAATAAAGGTTGAAGCTGAAGTACTATTTTCGAATTTTGATAAACAGATTTTGCGTCTTAATGTTCTCAGAATTATTTGTTTTGCCAAACTTTTCACAATTCATTATACACCAGAATTTTCAAATTTTACAAGAGTAATTGATTGGTTCCAACTGTGACTTTAAACTTCGGGAGTAGATTACTAAAGCGTAATTTTATTTCCACTCTATCATCCTTTTATCATTGCTTCATAATTTTACAATTCCTTCACAATATCCGTAACGATCTCATATCGTCCGATGACTCTAATTCGTCACGATCTTATCAGTCAGTAGCTTCTCCTTTTCTAAGTTTTGAAATAACTTGCAAGGATGGAATTTCGTTGGAACAGTAAGTGAAAATACTTTTGTTGCAGTAAAAGATGTGTTGAAGAAACTTTTGTATCCATAGTAAAATTTCTGATTGTCACCTAAATGAAATCACATTGACCGACTTTTCCATTGCTTCACAAATATAAACTAGTCGACAGAGTCACGATACATCACTCGCCATCATCTCACTGCGCACTTTTACTATTTTCCAACGCTGTCGTCAACTGCTCTATCTTAATTCAATTTAATTTTATTTCATTTAATGTACTAATTCATTGACAGCAGAGGGACGGTGCACACATTCATTAGGGAATTTGAAAATTTGAAATTTACCCAGCATTCCCATTGAATATTATTAAGAAGACTGAAAAGTTTAATGTAAAGTGATCACAGCTATTCATTAGAACTTTGCATGTCTTTTATTCATTTATCTTTATAAAAGAATTCACTGATGTCCTTGCCTTTTCGGATTTCGTTTACATATTGTCAACAATCATCTCGCCATAGTCAGAAATTCTGGTTTTCGAAATAAATTAGAGCACGAACCTGAGACGATTTCAAACCTCAATGTTTGTCTTTTCGAACTCCTTCTAGATATAATTGATTATTTCAGAGAAATTTCAGTAAAAACTCTCGTTTATATTTCGAATTAAAATGTAACGGTGCAGATATCAATTCTCTTTTTCCATCATGAATATTCGGCTATCGAATTGAGATTTTTTTTTTTTGCTTTTCGAATGTAGTTATAAGTTGAGCACAGCTGGGTTATGTTTGTTTTTCCTTTTGCTTTTTTTTTTGTTTACATTACCTCAGGCTTTTACCTGTACCCTTCAGGACATTAAAGAGTTGGGGCCGTTGATGATATTTTTATAAATATTGCGTCTCTTTAAAAAATTCGTGGATGCAATGATAGTGTCAGCTTTGTCTGTGGAACATCGTCTGGAATAATCAATTTGATTACACTATAGAGAAGCTTTTAGCGCCTTGAAACTTTTCTGATTTTTTTTCATACATTAATTTAGTTTTAAACTGAATTCTTTCTGACCGGTATTTTTTGTTACCGTAATGATGTCCAATTATTTCTGATCGATCTAGATTCAGAAAGTAAACTGAAATAATTTTTTAAGGTCAAAGAATGGTGATTCAGTATGTTGCAATGAAATTTTCCACCAAAAGCATTCAATTGAAAACAAGAACTGTCTCTGGTCAACATATTTTGTTACACAGCTGCTATTCATTGATAGCATCTTCTGTTTTATTGGATGGAATAAATTCCTTTAAAGCATGATCGTTAATATTGGATCTTCAGCAATAGCCAACGTTGATTTCAGTAAGTTCGAGATATGAAGCCCAATTTAGGCTTCAGACATATATATTTTGATGCTACTGGTGCAATCATCGCTTATTTTACTCTAATCACTACCAGAACTGTTATTTATCCCGAAATTACTAAGTTGGGAAATGTAATCGAAAAGTTGCTGAAGTTCTACTTTATATTCCATTTAATTGGTAGAGCTTGTTCACAGTTCAGCTCCAATTCGGCTTCTTTCCAAAATGGTCTCGAGAATGCTTCTTCAATAGCTTTATATCGGGGTGAGACTTTTTTAATCTTCAAGAAAAGAACAGCAATTTGAAAGTTTAACTTTGAAACAGGAGCAAGTTTGCTTTGAAGCAGAGTTTGATAGCCACACATGTGAAAAATACTGTGGAAGCATTCTCTGAATAATGTTTAGACATCGGTAGTATAAATGTTGTCATTTATTGCGGCAAAAGATTTACTACTACAATTGTCTTCATATGATATTTGATTTTACTTTTTTCATCTCAAAACCAAAAGTAAGAACTTCAAAACCACCTAATGCAATAGTCTAACCGTCTTCATGATATATTTATAGTCTGTTTTTAGGAATCTCGAACAAAAGACTTCATATTGAAACGCTGCGAGATGATCCAAAAATTACTACATCCATCATCGACAACGGCATGGTGGGAAGTTTATATTGTTTAAAATAATTAAATTAGCGAAATTTGAGCGTAAATTACAAAAAGATAGTAACATAGATCATATTTATCGAAATAGATCAGTAAATCTAACCTAATTCTATTTTACAGATCGCAGATACTCCAAACAAATCTCAGGTATTTCAAAAACCAGAGCCCATCCGATCGAGACAGCTTTTTCAGCGTTCGTTATCAACTTTGCCAGATTTCTCAATTGAAAAAGACCCGACAGATCGCTCAACATTACTTACTGTTATTTTGCCTCGTTCTCCAACCAATTTTGGCCAATTTATCGCTAAAGTTGTTGACATTTCACCAGTCGTGTAAAAGTTTCAATTCATATTTTTTTTACAAATCTCCAAAACGTTTTAAAAAAAAGTACGAACAAATAACATGGAAAGTTGTACTGACAATTCACTGAAATACATCATTTGAACATTGTTTGAACTTTGGATTATAAAACAGTTTCAACTTGAAACAAAGGTGAAGTTGATTATTTTAAAACGATATATTATTGACAATTTTAGAGATCTATCAGAACGCGATATCAACAGGACATTTTTAGCATCACCATCAGATTTCAAGACTATCAACATTCACGGCCTTCATCCTGGCCATCAATACAGGTTGGGTTTTAAATTCTGCTTGCCTTTTTATTCAGCTTAAAAGTCGGGGAAAAAATTTTCACTTAGAATAATTCATTATGAACAAAAATGCAAATGAGCTTCTTAATTTAAAATTTTATTTCGTTACCGTTAAATCATGCTAATTCTGATTTATTGATCATTTCTTTTGACTTTAATCTGCTAAAACTGCCGTATAAACATCATCTAGCACCGATTCAGCAAAAAAGTAAGAATAAAGAAATCAACACAGCCGGTCAGAGATTTCATCTATCGTTTAGTGGAAAATAATTTAATTTAAGGAGTGAAGTGTTTTATCTCAGAAAATTATGATATTCGTAAATTGCAGAAAAAAGTGGGAAAGAATTTTTTCGACGTAAAATGGGAAAAAAGGGGAAGAAAAGGGAAGAATTTTTCAATTTAAAATGAAACTGTTCTTTTTATGTAGAAGTTACTGCAATCAGCTGTTCGTCACACTATATTTTTATTTTGATAATCGAGAAGAAAAGAATAATCAAAATGCTTTTTCAACGGAGCGAATCTGTTTCAATGACGAATAATTAAATCAAACTACTTTCCCGCTATTTTTTTTTTGAAAATTTGCAAGAAAGCGTAATTAAGTGAGCGTTAAACAACTGTCAAGATTGTAATTTAAAACTTAAAAGTTGTTGTGGGTAATGTTGAAAATTTCCCCTCCCCTCATTTACTTTTATACTTGAAATAGTTTTTTAATTTGACAAGGTGATTTATATTTACATGTATGAATTTCCATACATCTCTCTGGAGTTACATTCTAATATCTTTTGAATGCGTCCACATCTATGCACCGGCGTTTCGATATTTGTGCGCATGAAATAAGATGTTTCAAATATCCACCATTAGGGATGCGTTGAGTCATCATCTATAGATTCATAGATTCAAAAATACATTTCCATTTTTTGGTTGTAGTTTTTGAACAGCAAGATAGCTAATCGCATTCACTGAAAATTTTCTATTAGTCAGCACCAAAAAAAGAAAAAAAACAAAACAATTGAGATTTGATAGGCAGATAATAAATTTATTTCAACCATCACTTCTCATCTGCTATTCGGTAATGTCGTAAATGCATGTTCATTCAACCAAAAGTTTGGATCATTTTATATGGAAGATGAGAGTCTGCTTGTTTTGTTTATAATGTTAAAGGAATGAAGAGATGAAAGACATATCGAGACATAAACTATAACTCAATTGTTGCTAAGATCACGAATAATGAGTCTAAAAGAAAATCGATGCTTGGTTTACTTCTTGCTATGCTTTTTTGTATTTGATGGCTAATTTTGTATTGCTTTTCCAACAGGGAAAATCCTTTAATGTAAGGGAATTCTAACTTGGTTCAGAATAAAACATAATTCATTTTAATTTCAGTATATCAGTGATTGGTAGGCGAAAAGGTGAATCGGAACTGATCAAGGAAGAAAGAGTGATAACAGACCCAATAGCACCAGATTTCGCCTCCCGTAATGCAACCATCCTTTCCTTTCACACTAATATTACTCTACGAGCATTGAAACCTGAAAAAGCCCTACAGGTTAAAGTTTTATTGGACAGTTAAAACGAAGGATAGATTGATAATGTGCAAATGACCCTAAAATGATTTTGTCCTGAATCACTAAAACTTCCAGTTATCTTCTGAATGCACTACTTCTGTTGTTTCTGGTTGTTGGTTAATGCAGGTTTTTCAATCAAGAATTTTACTGTAACATTGGCGATAAATGATAAAAGCTTAGCCACCTTTAGTTTATACGAAAAAATTGAAGTGTGCGTTGGTGAAACTATTCTGAACATTTTATAATAAATCATTCTTCTGATTTATTATAAAATTCTTCTGAATTTGATCATTCTTCTGAATTTGAAACCAGTTTATATGTGAAATTTTTTACAGGATAGCTACCAAATATCTTATATACAACTTGATCCGTTGCGATATTTTCCAAAACTTGAAATTAATGATATTCCGGAACAAAGGTATATAGAAATTTATCTTGGGAATCTAATGCCTGGACAAGATTATAATGTTTCTATTACGCCACAAATAAAGAATGTCGAAGGTCGACCGTGGAATGGAATCCTAACAACAAGTTCATTTTTATGTTCTTCACATTATTTTAATTTTTCAAATACAGCACGACTTTTAGCAAAAATTGGAATTTTCAAAATTCAAATCTTGTCAAAAAAAGTTTTAAGCGGATATTCTTTGACTGTGCTCACTTTGGATTATTCCTTCCATTTTCTTTCCATCTGTAACCTTTTAATTCTCCTAATCATCTCGGCTTATCTTTTTAGAGCCTTATTCTCCAGAAAATTTAGCAGTAGCAGAACTCAATGCTACATGTGTACGGCTTTCATGGTTCTTAACATCAAGAACAGGGGCTGATTCAATTTCGATCAGTTATCGACTTAATAGGATCAGTACTTCGTTGATGGAGGTAAGACTTGATATTGGAGACATAGAAAATTTCTGGAAAACTGGATTTCTTATTACTGACTCAGCCAGTTTGAAGCAGTTTTGGATATAACAGATATTTATCATATGATAATGCTCCTTTTTTTAGGTGACAGTACAAAGTAACCAAAGATTAGTCGAAATATGTAATGGTCTACAACCCGGACGAACGTATATGTTCATTGCAAGAACGAAAAAAAGCAGTGAAACATCGGAAGGTATCAAACTAATATATACGATGAAGCCAAAAGTACCTGAAAATTTGAAAATTTTAATGGATTATGAGAAGCGGAAATTCAGGTATTACTTTCTTGTTTATTTCTCTAGCGGTTTTTTTACAGGATTTTAAATTACTAAGCCTTACACCAGAGATGTGCTATTAATTTTTTCAGGAGGCCAGATGAGAAATTGAAATAGTTTTTGAGCGCCGGACTAATATACTTAAGTCAGTTCTACCCATTACCGTATTCTTATAATGTACTTTCTCTTCATAAAAAAACAGTAAATGAAGCATTGTAATGGATTAATGAGATGATGAAGTTGTAATGAAAGATCAACGGATTTTGACATTGGAAGGTTTTGATTTAAGATAAAGGAAGACCGGTGGGAGTGGAAGGCTTCTCCCGCGACTCCGTGGACAGAAAAAACTGCTGATGGGCTGCTAGATGCTCAGCCTTACACGGTGACAAACCATCAAAATTGTTGTCCTGTCAAAGAAACTTTGAATGAAAAAGATACGGAAGCTTAATACATTTAAAATCTATAGGAGTCGAATAAATCATCTGTGAAAGAAGTAGATCATTACATAAATTACATAAATTATGCTGCAGCTTTTAATGATCAGTGATGTTTTTTAGATTGATTATGGACATAGCATCAGAATCTGAAAGTCACATAGAGAAATGTTTTGTAAGTTTGGTGAATGAAAAACTAGACGTTATTGAAAGAACATCAGCTGTTGACAATTCGAAAAGTACCTCACCTGCCAGACAGTAAGTTCATTCGAAGATGTCAAATGAACTGATTAACCACTCATGAGATTTATAAACTTTTTACTGTATGAATATTCTTTATAAATTCATTAATTCATAATAAAAATTTGAGTTATAATTTACCTTGACCTCATCGAGATTATCTTTTCTACTGCATCTTTTAAGCGTTGTCGCCGCAAGTCACCATCATGTCAATACTTCATGATGATAAACTTGCTGATTAGTCCTGGACAGCATAATTGCTCCAACCGGGACGACATACTTACTTTGACGTTTCTATTCATTTTTCAATTTTGGAAGTATTATTCGATGACGAATGTATTTAGATGTTCAATCTACGTGGATCTACATCCTGGCCAACGTTATGAAGTTTCTGCAAAAACAATTAGCGAAAACACATCGAGTAATGTCATCTCCAAAAGTTTTGCCTTACAACCAGCTTTTGATATGGAAACCTTTGGACTGCAGCTATCAGTAAGTTATAATTTTTATGAGACAAACTAAATGATGGATGCATTTTCCGAAATTAAACTCTTCTTGAAATGCATCTCTGGATATAGCTCTTCTAAAAACTTGCCCATTAATTAATCTTATCTATTACGCCGGCTTATCAGAATTGTCGCACTCTGTCTGAACGATCTGCATTATTGATTTTCCGATCTGAATAGGCTGAAAAACTGCTTAGATTAGGAAAAAATTCCTGCACATATCAAAAGTATGGAAATGAAATGGATACTGTCCACAACTGATAATAATATTACGATCTGTTTCCTTATATTACTTTGAATTTTTTTTAGAAATGATGAAAGATGACTTGTAAAAGAAATGATGAAAGATGACATTGAATCAGAATTTCAGGAATCTGACGGTACTTTGATATTAAAATGGCCCGTAGCCGAGATGGCTCGAGCACGATTAGATGATGTTTGGGAAAATATTGTTGGTTCTGACAGCACGCTGCATTTGCGCGTTGATCCACTAAGTAAGTCAATCAGTGGCACGTGGCAAGAGCAGTCAAAACGCTTTGAGCGAAAACAATATGAACGTGATCCCTTAATTGTTCCAAAGTTAAGACGTGGTTCTTGCTATAAGGTAAGATGAATCACTCTTTTTATCATCATTTATGGTTCAACTTTTTGTGAGTTTGGTTTACTAAGCATGAAGTTTATTATTACAAGACAAATATAAATAAATAAATAAACATATATATATATATATATATATATATATATATATATATATATATATATATATATATATATATATATAATAATAATAATTAAGTATATATATATATATATATATAT